ATTTTGCTTTTACTTAACTAAAAGTGATAATCCTGCTTAAATAGCTTAGTAGTGCACAGGTTCTGTGCACAGGCATTCATATTTCAGGGGTAATTGTGCCTCCTCGTGCCCCCTTCTATGGCCATCATATATTGGGTATATGGATGGAGCGGGCCTGGGGGCCAGTACGTAAATGTGAACCCAAACGCAGATTCAGACGCAGACAGCAGGAATCAATCTTAACTTGGCTTCATTTACAGACCCAAGAGAAACACAGTACACGGGAGAAATGTGCGTGGATGTGGAACTCGAACGTGGGTCTCTGAAACAGCACGAGAAAGGTCAGGAGGGGCACTGCGGTACGGAGACCTGAGGACATGTGACAGACTGGATTAAGTGAACACGAACAAATAAACCACAAGAAGCAAAGGCGCCGTATTACTAACACAGCTACGCAGATGAAGAGATGAATAGTTGTGGTCTTCAATACTGCTAAGTGATCATCCAGCATCACACACAGGTGAGCATGACAGGTGTGTTGATGTGGGCTCCACTGGGGTGGAAAAACACAGCCAGTCACCGGGAGCATGACAGCATATCTAAAATGAGAACATTCACTTTCCAAATAAACCAGTCAAGAGTGTTGTTGGTCCTCCTGTTTATGTAAATGATCTACATTCTCCATAATCATCACTATGTTCCCAGCACAGATCTGGCAACAGTGGGAAGGAAAAACTCCCTTTTAACAGGAAGAAACAGGACAAAGACACCCTGTGGAAGAGAGCCAGAGGTTAATAATAACTAATGATTAAATGCAGAGAGGTGAGTGAAGAGGAAACACCCAATGCATCATGGGAATCCCTGGCAGCCTACACCTGCTGCAGCATAACTAAGGGAGGATTCAGGGTCACCTGGTCCAGCCCTAACTATATGCTTTAGCAAAAAGGAAAGTTTGAAGCCTAATCTTGAAAGTAGAGATAGTGTCTGTCTCCTGAATCCAAACTGGAAGCTGGTTCCACAGAAGAGGGGCCTGAAAACTGAAGGCTCTGCCTCCCAGGGAGCCAATGAAGAGAATCCAATACAGGAGAAATTTTCAGCGTCACTCTGAGACAGGATATTTCTAGTTTTAGAGATGTTGCACAAATGTAAGAAAGCAGTCCTACATTTTTGTTTAGTATGTGCGTTGAAGGACATGTCCTGGTCCATCCATTCGCTTATCCTTTTCAGGGTCGCGGGGGGCACTGGAGCCTATCCCAGCTGTCATAGGGCGAGAGGCGGGGTACACCCTGGACAGGTCGCCAGTCTGTCGCAGGGTTAACACACAGGGACAGACAACCATTCGCACCTAGTGGCAATTTGGATTATCCAATTAACCTATCCCCACAAGCTGCATGTCTTTCGACGGTGGGAGGAAGCCGGAGTACCCGGAGGGAACCCACGCAAACACGGGGAGAACATGCAAACTCCACACAGAAAGGCCTGATGGTGGAATTGAACTCAGGATCTTCTTGGTGTGCGGCAACAGTGCTAACCACCGTGCCACCGTGCTGCCTGGACATGTCCTGGTCAAAAAACAGAAATCAGGGCAGCAGTTCTCCTTTTTCTGTTATGAAGTACCCGCTTTCTGTAACCTCATGACGCAAATCCTGACTCACAGTGAAGAAGAGGAAGCAGCGCTGCCACTTCTAAGGTCAGCTTGTATTTCTCCTTCCAGAGAACTGACTGAGAAGACAAAGGTTGGAGGTGCCGTGTGACTGAAGATCTCTCGTCCGTCCTCCTCTACAGTTTCAGATCTTCAGATTTCACTGTTCACAATTTTTATCAATGAGCTTTATTCCAAACAGAATCTGAAACCTCTGACAGCCACGAACCATTTCCTGTGTTGTTGTGCTGTGGTGTGCACAGGTGCCATGTGGTGTTGTCCTGTCTTGTATATGCTCAATCTGAGGAAACAGAGTGTTTCCCACTCATCAACAGCAACAAGATAACACAAGTAAACACCTTCATGACCTCAAGCTGAAGCACATTTTGTATCTGCAGCAGGACAATGATCCAAGTCCGACTCTGAGTGGCTTTAGAAAAACAAAATGAAGACTTTGGAGTGGCCTTCAGGTCACTTCCTGTGTGTTTGCTTTCAGGTGTTTCTGACTGCGTCGATGCTTTCTAATAATAAGCCGAGCGCTCGCATTCACAGCACAGCAATGGGAATGTTAAATGCCGCCTGTGGGGTAGTGATGTTCCTGATGTTATTTCATTCTAACTTTCAGAATACTAAATAAACCACTTCTGCACTCAATATTGAGTCTGATGTTTGAGGCTACAGTTTGTCCGAACAGATAAAAGCTTTAATCGTATTTCAGAGCCATTTGAAAATGATCCCAGCAAATATTTCAGTGTTCAATAACCGTCTGTAATCAGTCGAGTGGCAGCTCAGAAGTCGTTTAGAATGAAAGCTGAAGCAGCGCGTCTCCTCCCTCACCTCTGCAATGGTAATTATCTGTTTACCGATTAGAATAAAACTAAATAAAAAATAACATTTTCTCAATTAAAAAAAACAAGAAGGGTAGCACGGCGGCACGGTGGTAAATGGCCTGCATTTGTATAGCACTTTTCTAGTCCATAGGACCCCAAAGCGCTTCACACTACATTCAGTCATTCACCCATTCACACACTGGCGATAGCAGCTACATTGTAGCCCTGGGGCGCACTGACAGAAGCGTTGGTTAGCACTGTTGCCGCACACCAAGAAGGTCCTGAGTTCAATTCCACCATCAGGCCGGGGGCTTTCTGTGTGGAGTTTGCATGTTCTCTCCATGTTTGCGTGGGTTCCCTCCGGCTTCCTCCCACCATACAAAGACATGCAGCTTGTGGGGATAGGTTAATTGGATAATCCAAATTGCCACCAGGTGTGAATGTGAGTGTGAATGGTTGTCTGTCCCTGTGTGTTGGCCCTGCGACAGACTGGCGACCCGTCCAGGGTGTACCCTGCCTCTCGCCCCATGACAGCTGGGATAGGCTCCAGCGCCCCCGTGACCCTGAAAAGGATAAGTGCATGGATGGATGGGGGGAAAAAAAGGGGTCACCTCGAGGGTCACTAAGTCCCACAGATGTCCAGGTTTAAATTCCCCTGAGCTGATTGGAGCTGATCGTCCTCACGTGTTAGGGATTCCTGACTTTATCGTACTGACATCACCACAGGAAGGACAGACGTGCTGTCAGGTGTGTCACCATGACACAAATGAAATATAATTTAGAAGTAACTGAAAGTAATACTTAGAACTTTTAATCCCAGTCTGTTCTCGTAACAGCAGATTCATTGATTCTTTACAGTAATCCGATCGTCACTTTGTGTTAACACAGTTAATATAAATATACATACAGCGGACGCATGCACATTTATTACTGTACATTTCTTTACAACAGTCACAGGACTCTTTGGAAGAACCGAGGTCATGATGTCATCTGTAATCTTTAACCAGGAGTGAGGAGACGCTCTCGGGCTCCAGGCGAGGTTCAGTGGAGCCGTGAGTGCTCGGTGCTTTTGTGACCACTAGCTGCCCGTTGTGTTGCTGTTGTGGTGGTGATGACTGTAAGTGTGTTAGGTCGTGGACACGTGCAGAGCAGAGAGAGTCGACGCGCCGGAGAGCAGGTGTGACAGACCTTTGTGTTTACAGTGAAGTCTCCCTGAAATGTGATGTTTGCAGCTGGAAGCATCAGTAAAGGAGGTCCTGCTGGCTGTGTCTGCAGCTAACACAAACTCAACACGTTCTTTAAATATCCTGTTAAACTCTCCTTTAGTTTTAGGATGAAATGAGGCTCCAAAGTGAACCAACGCATGTTGTAGCACCAGTTACCCAAAATCCTGTGAACTTCCAACAAGTATGGAATAACCAGAGGTGGCAAAAGTACACTTAAAGAATACTCCAGTAAAAGCTGAAGTACTGATTCAACCTCTTTACTCAAGTCAAAGTAAAAAAGTACCGGCTCTGAAATGTAACATAAGAAATAAAAACATAGCTCCGCTGGTCTGATGCAAAGGGAACCGAACCTTGTGTCTATATTAATGTAAACAGAAAAGTGAGTACATGAAAGTCGGGGGTGGGGGGAGCCTAACA